TGTGGACGGGCCGTGCGCGCCCGTACCCCGTGGCTCTGACACCGTTCGGGAAACCTGAAGAGTCGTCCAAGTCTTCTCCACTCGCGGATCGAGTGTCGCGTAGATTATTGGGATGTGGTTTTGTTGTAACAATGAGTGTGGTAGAAATAAACGGAACGTGGCAACCTGTTGACACCGGTACCTGTCAAGTATCCTGTACTTGGGTTGCTCGTGGTAGGAGTCTGATCTGCCGTTTTGCATGTTTGCATGTGCCTTGTTATTGCACGGCGATCCTGTCTAGGGCGGTCGACTGTTGCGGTCAACCACTGAGCCAGAACCCCCTGTGTTCTGCTGGACTGGACTCCCAGGTGTGGGAGTGGCCCGATCCCTGCTGCAGGCCGGCACTCACCAACGAGAGGGAATGGCCAGTCTGGGGTGCCCAGTGTGAGGTCCTGGAGGATGACAAAAGGAATGGATGAGGTCATACTGCCGCCGGTTGGGCGGGAGGCTGCGGCGGGAGAGGCTTGACCGAAAGACAGCATCCTCCGCGCGGGACCCTCACGGCTGCGCGGCAAGTGCTCTCAAGGAAGGGTGCTATCCACGTGTGTGGGTTTTCCCAGTGCCAGGGGTGCAGGGAGCCTGCCGTGAGCCTGCTGCTGTCTTGTCCAGTCGGCAAGGCAAGCTTTGCGCCCATATGTGTAGTCAGCTGGAGCTGCAGTGAGTCCGAAGGACAGGGAGTCCCCGGAGCTGTTTGTGGCCAGGGACAGTAGGGAGCACTTCCCAGGGGTGGTTTTATAGTCACACTGACCGCGTGGGGGAGGAGGAGACGTGATTCCGGCTCGTTTGTCCAGTCTTGGCCTCTCTTATCGAAGCTCCCTCCTTTATGATCTTACCCAGCCTCCTGACTTCAGTGCCAGCTTTCCTTGACATCTTTCACATCTCCAGCGCCAGCCTGGCATTTCTAGCTGCCTCTTTCTCATCTCCATGTGTTCCTTTGTTGCTAAGTACCCAGGTCTGAACTCAGCTCCAATTGTCACCCATGCCAGAAAGCTCCTCATGCCTTTCTAAAGTCTTTTTGACTTCTCTCTATCTCATGTCTTCGTGGAACCCTCAGGAAGCTCTGTCAGGTCATCACCTACTTCCATCATCTACTTCCAGTTACAGACCACTCACATCTCCAAGTTACCTGGTGAGCCACTAATTCTTCCCTTTGTTGTCCCTTGGTCCCCGTTCCCCACCCCCATTCACCCACCTATGGTTTTTCTGGACACAGAGTGATTCTTTAAACTGTATGATAGAATAAAACAAAGGCAGTATAGATTGAAGCCAGCTTGCCTGGGCGATGCAGCAGTTTCATCACTTCCTAGCTGTGTGACCTTGAGCCAGTGGTTTAACCTTTCTGTGCTTAGCCTTTTTCTCACAGTGCTGTGTGAGAACTGGATGAGTTAAAATGCTTCAAGCATTTAGAACAGGACCTGACTAAGGGTTGGCTGCTACTGTTGTCCTTGGATGGTGCGATGTCACTTCTTGGGCCTTCCTATTCAGTGGCCCATCTTTCTCAATCTAAGAGCCAAAGTTCTGGCAGCAGCCTGGGAGGCCTAGCCCTGATCTGCTTGCCATAACTGAGCTGGTCTACTGTCATGCCCCCTTGTCACTGCTCCAACAGGCCACACCACACTCTGCCCCAGGGCCTTTGCTTTTCCTCTCATTGTCACCTGGAACATCCCCTCCTCCTAGCCTTGCTACCTGCCTGGCTCCCTCCTCTGCCTTCAGGTAGATGCTGGCTGGGAGGCCTTCTCTGACCCTCCTTTTTACAGCTGCCTCCCTTCCCTCAACGCTTTCCTTACTTTGAGCTTGAAGGTTTCTCTGCATGAAACATGGTACATGCTTTTCTGAGTTGTTATTTGTCCATCTCCCCTGCTATAGTGTGAGCTCTGGGGCAGAGGTTATGTCTGTCTCGTCTGCAGCATCTCGGATGGTGTGTGTGCTGCATGGAAGGTGTACAGGAACACTGACTGAGTGAATGAATGGAGAAAGCTTACTGAGGAGTCGGGAACTCACCTGAGGAGTAGGTACCTCCCACTCCCCTCCCAGACCAGCTGCTGAGCTTTGGTGCTGTCCCCCGGAGCTCACTCTCCCTTCCCTTCTCAGCCTCCCTGCCACATACCTTTTTAGGGCCTCCTCCAGCACTGGCTGTCATCTTTGTTGGGTGCATCTGTGTAGGGTGCTTCTTAGCCTTTCAACATGGCAGGGGGCGTCTCTCCTGTCCCACCTCCTCACATCTTCACTTGAACTTTTCTGTCCCAGAGTCATAGATTGACTCACCAGGATCTCTGCACACTTGGCCAGCTTCTGAGGGCCTGGTCCCAATCTCACTTGTGGTCTGTGGCACTGGGCCTGCTGACCTGTCATCCCTTCTCTGGAATGGTCTGGTTGCAGGAGGCCAGCCTCTCTCTACTTGGCATTCCTGGTGCCTGCCTGGTGGCTTGTAGAACCCTCCTTTGTGCTTTTGCCACTATTCCATGGTTGCTAGCTCTGTTCTATGTCCTTGACTCTAAGCAGTTTTGATGGCACTTTTGAGGTGGTGCTGAGTTAACTTCTCATGGAGTTCAGAAATGTTAGGACATCTTAGAATTAGGGAAGAGTGGTAGCGTAGTGGCTATTGCCCTGCCAGTGCGTCCAGGCCCTGGATACCTTTTCTCTCATCCATGTAGTGCCTTCCTCGGAGTGACACCTTCCTTGGAGTAGTGGATAGTTGATACATGTGTGAACTAAACCTTAAACTGGTCTCTGATTTTCATATTGTGTTTCCTTCAAAGTATACCTACCATGCTCTGTCTCTTTACTGCACACTTAGTGTGTGCCATCTACTGTCTCCTGTCCTGTCTAGGCATCTTTGGATTGTGTGTTATGTCATGCAGCGTGGCATGCGTGTGCGTACCTGCTTCAGTGTGCATGGCATGTGCATGGGTGTGTTCTGTGCACGTTGTGGGTGTGCATGTGTGTGTGTCTGCATGTGCTTCTGCTCTGATGTGGACCTCTGTCCAGGCCTCTGGGGTTCTGGCTGCCTCCTCTGACCTGCCTTCTCTGCCTCATGTTGTCCAATTTCTCATGCCTCCTCTGTATGGAACTTCCTCAAATCACGTCCTTAACCCCCTGTCCTGTGAGCTTGGCGACTGCCTCCCAGTTGGTGTGTTCTGGCCTTTCATCTCTGGGTCATTCATGGCCCCAGAACTGTGGCCTTGGCACCACCTGTCAGAGCCTGCCTGGAAGATCCTCTATTCTCCTCGCCAGGCTCCTGCCTGGATGCTGGAATCTGGGTGTCCCTGCAGGGGAGAAGCCTTGATTGTCTTCAGTGCCCTCTTTTCTCTGCTCTCCACCTCCACTGGGTCAGAAGGTGTGGTCAGTTCAGTGACACTGTTCTTGTCATCGCCAGCCCTGTCACCAGGGCCTCCTTCACACCTTTGTTTTCTGGCCTGGAGAATTGTCCCCATGCCTCGGGTGCAATTGCTTCTGCCTGGCACAGCTGTCAGTTTCCTTTCTCAAGTAGGAACCTAAGCGTGGCACAAGAGTCACTTCACCCTCAGGGGCTCTTTTTGTCCCAGGGTGAAGCCTGGCTGTGAGTGGCACCCAGGACTCTGTGTTTTGGCTCCAGCTGTCTCCTGTGACTGCCCCCAAAACCTGGCAGGCTCCCTTCCCATCAGCCACCCACCCCTCTCCTCCACCGGGAGCAGAACTATGCCGCCACCTCTGGTGACCTCAGCACGCTGCATCACTGTCCCCGTCCACGTGCTGCCCCATGGACCCAGGAGAGCCCTGGGGCCCCTGGGTAGCAGAGCGCCTGGCCATACCTCTGAGGCCCCTAGTGCGCAGAGCTGAGCGAGGGTCTCGTGCTCACCCTCTGACTGACCCGGCTCGTGCAGGTGAGTGGATCGCTGAGCTCTGATGGCCCAAGGGAGGCCACAAGTCCTCTGTGTTTCCGAGGGTGCCTCCTGTTGCACGCTGGCTTACCTCACACGCGGAGGTGGGAAGTGCTGCGGTGAGGGTTGGTGCACACTTTATTCTTTCTGGGTCTTAGAATCATATAATTTTTGTGCTTCTGAAGGAGGAATTGGAGTGAACAGTTAATAAAATATCTAACTTTGGACTTAGAATTTAGGTTCTGAAGAAAAAAGCAAGGTTAGTTTGTTCTGATGCCTAAAAGATTCTCTTAGGCAGCTTTTTATTAAGCTCTTAACTATGCTGTTAATAGTGATTGACTTTGAACTTGATACCAGGAAAGCAGACGATTTCTGTCATTTTGTGACGACATTTTTCAAATTTCTTTGCAGGTGGAAGAAGAAAGGTGCCATTCTGGCATGAAGAGACTCGCTTGGTCGCCAGTCACTTAAGCTGAGTGCATTGTGATTTCCAATAATTGAGGCAGTGGTTCTAAAAGCTGTCTACATTAATGAAAAGAGCAATGTGGCCAGCTTGACTAAGCCGCCAGCGTGCAGCGCGGCAGGACGCGCCCGGGTCTCATCGGACTGTGCATGTTAGCTGTGTAGATTTATGTGAGGGCTATAAAACTCTGGTCTTTTAAACTAGTCGTAAGTGCTTTTAATATGGAGACAGATGAGAGCCCCTCTCCGCTCCCGCGTGGGCCCGCAGCAGAAGCGGTGATGGAGAGCCGAGCTCGCGCCTTCCACGCGCTGCCCCGTGAGCAGTCTCCACCACCTCCCCTGCAAACGTCCAGTGGTGCAGAGGTAATGGACGTTGGCTCTGGTGGTGATGGACAGTCCGAACCCCCTGCCGAGGACCCCTTCAACTTCTACGGAGCTTCTCTTCTCTCCAAAGGATCCTTCTCTAAGGGCCGCCTCCTCATAGACCCGAACTGTAGTGGCCACAGCCCGCGCACCGCCCGGCACGCACCTGCGGTCCGGAAGTTCTCCCCTGACCTTAAATTGCTTAAGGATGTAAAGATTAGTGTGAGCTTTTCTGAGAGCTGCAGGAGTAAGGACAGGAAGGTGCTGTACACGGGAGTGGAGCGCGACGCGCGGGCGGAGTGCAGTCTGCTCCTTAGCCCTGTCAGTGGGGACGTGCATGCTTGTCCCTTTGGCGGGAGTGTTGGTAATGGGGTAGGCATAGGGAGTGAGGGCGCTGATAAGAAGGATGAGGAGAATGAGCTGGATCAGGAAAAGAGAGTGGAGTACGCAGTGCTCGATGAGTTAGAAGATTTTACTGACAATTTGGAGCTAGATGAAGAAGGCGCAGGCGGGTTCACGGCTAAAGCGATCGTTCAGAGAGACAGAGTGGATGAAGAGGCCCTGAATTTCTCCTATGAGGTATGTTGGCGACGCTCCTTTGGAGGGTCTTAGCAAAACCCCAATTGGGAATTGCAGCGTCTTTGGAAAGCAGAGAAATTTAAAAAGCCAAACCAAAACCCCCTGTGAGTTGGAGTAATGTTAATCTGGAGAAAAGAAAGATGTCAGGAGTCCAGATTTTTTAAGTCTCATAATGAGAAGTTTGGCTGGTGAGTCAGCCTCATACCATCTATCCAGCCTTAGTCAGCAGGTGATGCTGAGATGCACTCCTTGGTGGTATGTGACCCTGGACCAGGCATGTTGGTGTTGGCTGGTGGCTTCATCTCATTTGTTTTTCAGATGTTTATGCGCCCTAAAGGCCATGTAGGCCCCCTGTGAGCGCCTTCTCTCTGTGTCTGTTCTCACAAACACTGCCAAGCTCACCCGGTGCAGGAGCGCGGGTGTCACAGGCTGTGGGGTCTGAACAGCATGTTTTGCAGGATGATTTTGACAATGATGTGGATGCACTGCTGGAAGAAGGCCTCTGTGCTCCCAAAAAGAGGCGAACAGAGGAGAAATATGGAGGAGATAGTGACCATCCATCTGAAGGAGAGACGAGTGTGCAGCCCATGATGACCAAGATTAAGACAGTGCTCAAAAGTATGTTGGTGGGCAGGAGTGATGAGGGGCCAGGGTGGCAGAAGGGTGGTTGCTTCCTGGGCAGAAGTGGTGCCTGGTGACGGGCTTAGGGGAGGCAGGTGATGAGGACAGGACAGTTGTGTCTGAGAAGGGAAACAGACAGGATGCAAGGATGCCCCTGACACATGGTCCAGGTGCAGATCCTGGTGAGTACTGTGGAGACCACAGAGTGGTAGGTGCAGAGGAATGGGGAGGGACTTCTGAGGCAGTCAGGAGTAGGCCTCAAGGAGGGGGCATCAGCATATACCAGGAGCCAAGACCAGTGGCCAGAGGTGGATTCTCAGTGAGGTGACTAGGTGTGGTCACAATCCAGGTTCTGGTTCTACACCAAGTATCACAGGAAGCCAGCAGAAGCTGTCAGGTATTATCCAATGCTTGTTTAAAAGCATGGCTCCTGGACTGCGGCTTGGCACATGAACTCCAGGTGGGCAGGTGTAGGTGGTGAGACTTGGATTTGGATTTGGGGACGGTTGGAAGAGCAGTGAGGAGGCGCCTAGAGTTGTGCCGTGAGGCCTGTTGTCGATGCTTTGTTATCAGTGCAGTGCAGGTATGGAAGGAGTCAGGGTTGGTGGCCTGGAGCACCTGTGAGCATCCTGGTAGGTAGAGATGTCAGGCTCAGTGGAGAAGCTGAAGGAACTGGGTACACAGGTGAGTCCCTAGGCTGTGACCAGGATGCAGAACGTAGCCAGGTGCGACTAGGAGGAAAGTGAGGGGCAGGTGGCATGCAGGTGGCACGCGGCTGCCCATGTGGCAATTCCCAGCAGTTAGGTTCTCTCAAGGGCAGTTGAGTTGCAGACAGGTGGACCTGGGCTGTAACACTTGGGAGTTTGCCTCTGGAGGCTGGCCTGGTACTTTTCTGGTCTCAGCGGTTTGCTCTGAGCAGGTGAACCTGTGTTCATCCCTTGCAGCTCACAGGCCAGCAGGCCTGGCCTGCCCACCTGGATGCTCACAGATGATGGCCAGGCTGACTTTGTGACCATCACTGTCATGGAGGAGCAGCTTGGGTGGACTATGCCCCATCTTGTGCTTGGCTTTGTATTCTCTTGGCTTCTTCTCCTGACTGAACCTAAAGCTGGTGTGAGGCAACTCCCTCTTGGACCAAGCCCATGGGAGTGCTTTGTGGTATGCGTGCACCCCTGACCTGGAACACTCCCTCTCTGGGGTTAACACCTGATAAGAGACCAGGGTGTAGCTGTCAGGCCTGGAGTGAGGGCCCTAGCCCTGAGAATCACCGGCACCTTTTCCTCAGGTGTATTTTTTAGATTTCACTTATTTTTTCCCCTTTTGTTTCTAAATTTTAAATTGTCCCCAATACCTGTAAGAAAATTAAGTTTTAGGCTGGGCATGATGCTCATACCTGTAATCCCAGCACTTTGAGAGACCAAGGCAGGAAGATTGCTGAGGCCAAGGAATTTTATGACCAGCCTGGGCAGCATAACAAGACCCGCTCTCTACAAAAAAAAAAAAAAGAAGAAAAAGAAAATTAGCTGGACATGGTGGTGCATGTCTGTAGTCCTAGCTGTTTGAGAGGCTGAGGCAAGAGGATTACTTGAGTCTAGGAGTTTGAGACTCCATGAGCTATGATCATGCCATTGCACTCCAGCTTGAGCAGCAGAGCCAGACCCTCTCTTTAAAAAAAAAAAAAAAAAATTTTAGGCTAAATCTTTACCTAATGTTCTTTCCAGTAATCTGGTCTGTCAGTGGTAGGTGTCAAGTAGATATTATGTCTGAAGCCTCTTCTTCACAACTGCCTTTAAAGCAAGGAAGGGGTTAGAAGTGGTGTCTTAAAACTAATTTAGAGTTGGGCAACCACCTTGAGTACCCTCCCACTGTGAGAGCTTTTCTGTCCTCAATAAATCCTTCTTAAAAATAAAACTGGGCTGGGCTTGGTGGCTCAGCCTGTAATCCCAGCACTTTGGGAGGCCGAGGTGAGTAGATTGCCTGAGCCCGTGGGTTCGAGACCCACCTGGGCAACTTGACGAGACCTCATCTCTACAATAAATCAAAAATAAGCCAGGCGTGCTAGTGTGCACCTGTAGTTCCAGCTCCGAGCACCGGACCCCAGCAGGTCGAGGCTGCAGTGGCCGGGAGCAGCCACTGCACTCCAGTCTGGGTGACAGAGTGAGACTCCAACTAAAAAAAAAAACTGATTTAGAATTAACTTGAAGCAATGTTTTGTGTGCTGGTGAGCGTATACTCAGTTATAGTAGAGACTTGTCACCTGGTTGCCAGAAGCAGTGGCTGACAGACATGCAGTTTGTTAGCACAGCCTGCCCAGCCCATGGAGTGCCTGTGGCCACGGGCAGGCAGTACAAGAGGAATCCCATGTCCACAGTGCTCTCCTGTGTGGAGGCCTGAGCCGCAGCCGGGACTTGTGTCTTGAACAACCCTGTTTCGTGCTCCTTCTCGTGCTGATTTGCTGTCCTAGGTCCTGGGGGTTTAGCAGTGAGCAAGTCAGTTCTAAGTGCTTTTAAAGTGACTGCAGGGTATTTTCATCTTTGCAGGTCGTGGCCGCCCCCCTACAGAACCGCTACCTGATGGGTGGATCATGACATTCCATAATTCCGGAGTCCCCGTGTACCTCCACAGAGAGTCTCGGGTGGTCACCTGGTCCAGGCCGTACTTCTTGGGAACGGGAAGCATACGGGTAGGGGAGGCCTCAGTCGTGACTTTAGGCTTGTAAGTTCTTAGACCGAAATGTGTATGTCTGCCCATATGGCACCATAGCCAAACAGAGGCCGATGGAAAGCAACAGATTTTTAGACTTTCAGGGGTGTCCTTGTAATTTGTGCTGAAATTTCACTTTCTACAGAAACACGACCCTCCTCTGAGTAGCATCCCTTGTCTGCATTATAAGAAAATGAAGGATAATGAGGAACGGGAGCAAAGCAGCGAGCTCACCCCCAGTGGGGAAGTGTCCCCTGTGAAGCCCTTGAGCCGATCTGCAGAGTTGGAGTTCCCCTTAGATGAGCCTGACTCCATGGGTGCTGACTCGGGCCCCCCGGATGAGAAGGACCCCCTAGGGGCTGAGGCAGCCCCGGGGGCCCTGGGACAGGTGAAGGCCAAAGTTGAGGTGTGCAAAGATGAATCAGTCGGTAAGTGTTCTGAAGGAGTTCAGGACCTGTCTGCAGGAGTGCTTCTGCACCCATGCCCTCCCCAGGACTCATTTTCCTGCTGAAGGCCATCATCCCTTGTTCCTAGTTGTGTCAGTGAGGGGGGAGCTGTGCGTGGTCATGCTCATGAGCTGGGAAGCTCTTTCTGCTCTTAAGAGAACCTGCCCGGGTGCAGCACCCAGGCCCATACACCACTCAGCAGGGCCTGCGCAGCTGGGGCTGCTGGGAAGCTTGCTACCAGCTCTCCCCACTAGCCTTTGCTAGCTTGCACGGTCTCTCCTGAAGTCCTGCTCATGGGGCATTGCTTTGGTTTGTCCTGATGAGCCTAGAATGAGCCTCTTTAACCCTTGAACTCAGTATTGGGAAACCGGCCCTGTTCTTTGGATAGTTCCCTCTATAGTCCCACAGGTGCTATTTGGATGTGTGCTTGTGGTTCTCACTCTCTCTTCCATGTCCCCTCGCTTTGTTCTACTGTTCCGATCTAGTTCTCTCTCGATGGGGCAGAGCTCTTTCAGCCTACCTGCTGTATCGCTTTCCAAGAGCACTTTTTGCTTTCTGGGTTTCTGGTCGTTTGTCCATTGCTGCCAGCCTAGCTCATAACTCTGGAGTGTGGGATACCCTAGAACTGTGTGAGTCAGGTGCTCTTGCTGAGGTTTGGGGATGGGATGTGACAAGTGCAAAGGCCTCCAGGCCCAGGTGTGCTACTGAGTGCAGAGGTGGCCAGGGTGGCCAGAGGGAAGAGCACTGTGGTCAGAGGGGTGCCAGGTAGCTAGAACACATGGAACTGAGCTGTTGCTGACAGCTGGACACTGCTTTGATACAGAGAGAAGGTCCAGAGGGCCATCTGATGTTTTTTTAAAGCTTCCTTTTTTCCTCTTCATTTATATATTCTTGTTCTTTCCCCAAATAAAGTAAAAGAGCATCTCTGAAATGTGTCCAGAAGGGACCTGCCAGAATAATTTGAGTTGACAGAGTGAGGGGTCTGTCTTTGCTTTTCCTGCCTTTTGAAAGGGACGGGGAGAGGGAAATGGGTGTTACATGGCCTGGGCTGTCCCATGCACTGGACTGTGGGAACTTGACTCCTAGATTGAAAGTTGAGTGATTTGGTTCTCTTCTCACTCTTGGACAGACCTTGAGGAATTTCGGAATTACCTGGAGAAGCGTTTTGACTTTGAGCAAGTTACAGTGAAAAAGTTCAGGACATGGGCCGAGCGGCGGCAGTTCAACCGGGAGATGAAACGGAAACAGGCTGAGTCTGAGAGGCCCATCCTGCCAGCCAATCAGAAGCTCATCACTTTATCTGTGCAGGATGCACCCACCAAGAAAGGTGAGCTGGGCTTCTACATGTTCTTGTTTGCAAATTGGTTGTGCTGTTAGTTCTAATTTGATGTGTTTGGATCATATGTTCTGTGAGTTGCATTTCATTCAAAGCTTTTATTTATCCTACAAATGCAGCAGTTGGGCTAACACTATGGGGGTGGCAGAGCCCTTAATTAGTGACTCACTAATGGGGGACACTGCCAGGCTACTAGGGTGCTGCTTGCAGCAGCACCTCACGCAATTATTGAGATAGTCTTTTTTGTCACAGAGTTTGTCATTAACCCCAACGGGAAGTCTGAGGTCTGCATCCTGCACGAGTACATGCAGCGCGTCCTCAAGGTCCGCCCCGTTTATAATTTCTTTGAATGTGGTAAGTTTGACCTTCCCCATTTCATTCAGGACTGGGAAGGGGGAGCTGATGCTTGCTCTACTCTACAGGGATAAAATGAAGGGAAGGGCAGAGAGAAGCAGATAGGGGGAATGGCTCTGTTTCCCCTACAGTCTGTGTCCTTCCCCTCCCCCCCATTCCCACCCCATCTGTCTTGCTAGCTCCTGACTCCTTGTTATCACGGACAGGTCTTAGGGAGAAGGCTTCCCTGCTATGCATTGGGTCCTTTCTCTGGTCTCCTGCACCCAGGGACTGAAGGGTCTTTGGCCTACACTTTCTGCTGGCTCTGTCCTATGGGCATCCTCATCACATGTTTGTGGAGACCAATGTGTCTTCACTTTGGAAGCTGAAGCCTGGGGATCACTCACCCTTTGGTTTGTTGCTTCTCTGGCAGACCACATCTTGTGCTTCCCCACCTGATAGTCCTATGTCTGTCTTCCATAGACCTTGATCCCTGTCCTGGCAGCTCAGTCCCCAGGCTCCTGCTTCCCCGGGGCTCACCATTTCACCATCACCATGTCCCTTGATGTTCCTGACTGTGCCCTCTGCCACTGATTGCTGTGGTCCTATCTCCAGCCTCAGGGAACCTCCAAGTCTCTGCAGTCGAGCAAAGACGTGCTCTTTGCCAGGGAAGCCATTGAGTGCTCTTTGGCTGTCACTGTGGGCAGACTGTGTGTGCATGCACTCTTGTCTTGGCAAGTATGTTTTAAAACAAGTAATTTTAATTTTAAGAGAACCCAAGTGAGCCTTTTGGTGCCTCGGTGACCATTGATGGTGTGACTTATGGATCTGGAACTGCAAGCAGCAAAAAACTTGCGAAGAATAAAGCTGGTAATGTGCTTGCCTGGGTGTCACAGGGATCGCTGACTTGTTTAGGGAGGGACTGAGCCATGGTGGCAGGTGGGGGGGGTAACAGGTGGGATATGTTCGTTTTACTGACATCATTATCTACCTTTATTCTTAAAATTATATGCTCCTGGGAAAGAACTCAAATAGAGTAAAATGTGAGACTTCACGGTAGAGGGCCCATCTCCACTGAGTGCAGCTGGCTAGTATGTCCTTCCCTTGTTCTGGCCTCACAAACATTTGGGGCTGAGCTGTAGTCATCCATGTGGGCCATGCTGGGCACATGCTATAATACAGATTTGTTTTTAACAAAATGTGGGCATTTGAGGAGAGAGGAGGGGTGGGTCTGCATGCCATCAGCATCTCCTGGAGTGGTTTGACATTGATGAAGACTGTTTTCTGAGTCCTTCAGACTCCATATTTGGAACTCACCACTCACTGCACATAGCAGAGTGCATCTCCAGGAAGGCTTGTGTTTTCTGGCTAAAGCCCACTGCTCCCGTGTCCTTGCTGTTCACTACCATGCCCAGCACTAGTAATTGTTAGCATTCTTTCACAGAAAGCCTTGTGCCCCAGCATTGGGGTTGTCTGACCTCTTCTAAGGAGTGAGCCACATTGCGGGGTGGTGTTGAGTACCTTGGCCCTTGCACCCACAGGTCAATTCTTGAGGTTTCTGCCATTTTCATGTGTCTTCTAGAGCAGGTCTTGACAAAGCAAGAAGTGTGTCAGTTTCATTCCAGTCTCAGCAGTTCTTGGGGACAGGGAAATGTTTGCTCATGGGACTTGGTGTTCGTTTCTTTTGATGATGAATGCTGAGGACAATTGGGAGCCTTTGTACTATAGTTACTGTCTGTCCTTCCTTCTGTGCAGCTGTCCTGGTTATGTACACTGTGCCTGAGATCACCAGGAGGGTCTGCTTTCCATATCAGAGACAGTCTGCTTAACAGATCTTTTCAGCTCAAACTGGGCATAACTGAGGTCTTGAGTAGACAGTGTATGCACAGTAGGGCCTGGTGTGGAGTGGAACTGCTCTGGGGTGTGGCCTTGTGCTCGTCCCTCTGTGGGGTCACTACTCTTCCCCACATGCTGGAATCCCCTCCATAGCCCTGACTCTGGCTGCCCTCTAGATATCTTTGCTTAGAAGTCTTGCCAGCACCCACAGCTCCACAGGGGCAGGTTGTGCCCTCTGGCCTTTGTACCTACCCCCTTCCAGTGGCCATCCCTGTGCTCTGCCCTGTAGATGCTCCCTCTAGAGTGTCCCCCTAAGTCTGACACATTTCCCTGCCCACAGCAGCCACGGCTACTGCTGCCTGGTCTGGATGCTACTGTAGCCTGCTCTCAGGCTTCCCTGCTCTGTCTAGGGCTCCCTGAGCTGTATTCTCACACACTGCTAAAGTGATCCCCTAAAACACAGTTCTGAACTCCTCCCTGCCTGTTCCCAGGACCTTAGGGTGGGAACACATGCTTAGTGTGGCTTGTGAGGTGTCCTACAACCTGCTCCACTGTCTCCTTGCCTCAGGATGGGGTTTTCCTTCTGTCATCTCCTGACCCTGCCTCTGAAATGCTGCTACTCCTCAGGGACTTTGCTCATTACTGAGCCATGTGGGATGGGATCCCATCCACTATGGGAAGAGGGCAATACCTAAGCCTTACCTACAGGCTCTTGTTTTTTACAGCCCGGGCTACACTGGAAATCCTCATCCCTGACTTCGTTAAACAGACCTCTGAGGAGAAGCCCAAAGACAGTGAGGAACTTGAGGTGAGTGTTGTAGTCCTACCTTGCTGGGAGCTGTGACTACAGTGTGGCCACTGGGCTTTTGGCACAAGCTGGGACTGTCCACGGACCTTTCCCATGCTCTTTTCCATGCCCTGTGCCAAGGATTTAGTCATCAGCCTCCAGATTCTTCTGTCTGTTTGCATTTCATAAAAGGGGAAATTTGCCTGTTTTTATGCAGGCAGAGAGAAAAATGTCCTTTTTGTTGGGAATTTTTGTCCCTTAGGTTTTGCAGCAGAGTGTATACTATGAATATCGGTTCATGATGGGAATGAACCTGTGGGGCAGAGTCTATACAATTTAAGTTGTTCTTTATACAGTTGTCTCTTGAACAATGTGGAAATTTGAGGTGGTAACGCCATGTAGTCAAAAATCCACATATCACTTTAGATTCCCTCAAATTCTAACTACTAATAGCCGACTGTTGACAAAAAAGCCTTACTGATAGCTTAAACAGTTGGTTAACATATATTGTGTATGCTGACATATTATATACTGTATTCTTATAATAATGTAAACTAGAGAAAATGTTATATTATTCATAAAGTGGAAGCAAATCATCATAAAGGCCTTCATCCTTGTCGTCTTCATGCTGAGGAGGAGGAGGAAGAGGAGGAATTGATCTTGTCTTAGGGTACCAGAGGGGGAAGAAAATCTGTGTGTAAATGGACCCAAAAAGTTCAAACCCATGTTGTTCAAGAGTCAACTGTATGAAGAACCATTTAAAGCCAGTTGTAAACCTTGTTGGTTAAATGGTTATTTATTCTGAAGACTGTCTTCTAGTATATAATAGCTTTATTGAGATTTACTTACCATGAAATTTGACTTTTTAAACTATTCCCTCCAGTGGATTTGTGTATATTTAGAGTTGTGAAACCATCACAACTATCTAATTTTAGAATATTTCATTAACCATGAAATAAAATCCATACCCATTAGCAATCTATCCCAGTTCTCCCTCATCCCTGGAAACCCCTGATCTGCTTTTTGTCTCTCTATATTTTGATTCTGGACATTTCATTTAAATAGAAGCATACAGTATTCCTTTGTGACTAGCCTTCCTCAGTGTGCTGTGTTTCTTGTGGGGTTTTTTTTCCAGATTGAGGAAGTTTCTTTCTATTCCTGGTTTGCTGAGAGTTTTTATCTGGAATGAATGTTGGATTTTGTCAAATGCTTTTTCTCCTTCTGTTGAGATGATCATGAGTTTTAATCTTTTATTAATATTGTGTATGATACTGATTTTTGAACCTTAAACTAACCTTGCTTTCCTGGGATAAATCCCACTTGGTCATGGCATATAATCATTTTTATACATTGCTGGATTTGTTTTGTTAGTATTTTGTTAAGGATTTTCACACCTGTAATTTTAAGGTATATTGCTTTTTTTTCATGTGATATTGGGGTAATATTGGCCTCATAAAATGGGTTTAAACGTGCTCCTTCCTCTTCTGTTCTGTAGAATAGTTTGTGAAGGATTGGTGTTCATCTTTAAAATATTTGATAGAATTCACCCAGAGAAACCATGTGGGCCCAGGCTTTACTTTGTCTGAAGTTATTTAGTTACTAATTCAGTCTTACTTGCTACAAGTCTATTTAGGTTTTCTATTTCTTCTTGAGCTAGTTTTAGTAGTTTTTTTTTTTTTTTGAGTTGGAGTTTCATTCCATCGCCCAGACTGGAGTGCAGTGGCCGCTCCCGACCACCGCAGCTTCGACCCACTGGGCTCTGGCGATCCTTCCACCTCAGCCTTCCGAGTAGCCGGAATTACAGGCACGCGCTACCATGCCCGGCTGATTTTTGATTTATTGTAGAGATGAGGTCTCGCTGCCCAGGCGGGTCTCAAACCTGCGGGCTCAGGCAATCCACTCACCTCAGCCTCCCAAAGGTGCGGGATTACAGGCTGAGCCACCGAGCCTGGCTAGTTTTAGTAGTTTTTGTCTTTCTAGGAATTTTTCTGTTTGCTCTAGATTATCTAATTCATTAGAGTATATCTGTTCATAGTATTCCCTTATGACCTTTTTTTATTTCTGTAAAATTGTGATGGTCTCTGCTTTTCTGATTTTAGTAATTTGAGTCTTTTTTTTTTCTTGGTCATTCTAACTAAAGTATTACCATTGATCTTTTCAAAGATCCAGCTTCTATGGATTCGAGTTACTGCATCCTTTTCTTTCAGCCTGAAGGCCCATTAGTATTTCTTGTAGGGCAGGTCTATAAGCAGTGAGTTCTCTCAGTTTTTATTTATCTAGAAAATAATTAATTTCTCCTTCAATTTTGAAGCATAATTTTACTGGATAAAGAATTTTTGGTGGACAGTCTTTTTCTTGAGAGTGAGGGTATGTCATCCCATTGTCTACTGACCTTCCTGGTTCGTAATGAGAAATTTGTTGTTAATCTTGCTGATACTTATGTGTGCTGAGTTACTTCTCTTGCTGCTTTCAAGATTCTGTCTTTGGCCTTCAACAGAGGTGTGTAGGTGTAGATTTCTTTGAGTTAACTCTTGTCAGAGTTTGACTTTAATGTCTTTCATCATACTTGGGAAATTTCAGCCATTGTTTCCTCAAATATTCTTTTTTTTTTCCAGTCAGAGTCTCACTGTGTTGCCCAGGTTGGAGTGCAGTGGCACACTCACGGCCACTGCAGCCTCAACTTGCTGGGCTCAGGTGATCCCTCTGCCTCAAATACTCTTTTGGCCCTTTTATTTCTCTCCTCTTTCTGGTACTCCCATTAATGTAAGTTGTTATGCTTAATGATATCCCACAGGTCTCTGAGCCTCTATCCCACAGGTCTCTGAGCCTCTGTTGTTTTTTTCTTCATTCTTCATTTCTGTTCATCAGAGTGGATAATGTCAATTATCCTATCTTCAAGTTTGCTGATCTTTCTTCTCTGCCTGCTCATATCTACTAGTGAACCCCTCTAGTGAGTATTTCATAATGTCTATTTCTGCTGATAGTCTCTATTTGGTGACATGTTATACTTCAGTTCTTTAGACATGGCTTGTTTTAGTTCTTTGGGCATGTTTATTTTAGGAAATTTAAAACTTTTATCTGGTAAGTCCAACTTCCTCAGAAAGAGTTTGTGTTACTTGCTTTCCCCCCATGTGTGGGCTATCTTTATTGTGAACTGGACATTTAAAATAATATGTGGTGCTTGCTTCAGCAGCACATGTACTAAAATTGAAACAATACAGGAAAGATTGTGGCCCCTGTGCAAGGATGACACACAAATTTGTGAATCATTCCATTAAAGGAAGGGGAGAGAGAAAAAAAATGTGGTGACTCTGGATATCAGATGACCTCAAACTTCTCAAAGTTGATTGTTTTTGCTATTTGTTGTTATTTTGTTTATTTTGTTTAGTGACTCTATCAGTTTACTAGGGCTGCTGTGACCAAGTATCACAAATTGGGTGACTTAAACAACAGAGTTTTATTGTGATAGTTCTGGAGGCTAGAAGTCCAATACCAAGGTATTAGAAGAGCTGGTTCCTTCTGAGGGCTGTGAGGGAAAGTGTTTCTCTCTGGTTTAGGGATAGCAGTCTTCGTGTTTATGCCTTCCTCCCTGCATGCATGTTTGTCTCCAAATTTCCCCTTTGTATTAGGACACCAGTCTTCCTGGGTTATGGCCCACCCTAGTGACCTCATTTTAACTTGATTACCTCTGTATGTCTCCAAACAGTCATATTCTGAGGTACTAGGGGGTTAGTATTTCAGCATGTGATTGTTGGGGTGACATAATTTAACCCGTAATAGTGAGTTTCCTAGACTAATTTTGTGAAGTCTGTATTCTTTGTAATATAAGGCAAAAGAAGTCACTGTTCCTTTAGCTAAGTAGTCACTTGATTGAACAGGGATTTTCTTAAATTCTCTGAACCAAGAAGCCTCCTGGCCTGTGCCGAGGGGCTCTAGGCCTGTGGGCCTGTGGGCTCACCTGTAGAACTCCAGTGCTGACAGCTGCCCTCCTACACAGAGCCTGCAGGTCACCCAAGGGAGAGGGCAGGGCTTTCGGGGCTTTTTTGGGCATGCATACAGCCACTCCTCGTGTCTGCTGGAACTTTTCAGAGTCTCCTGTGGACATCTTCTCTGGCATTTCATTCTCATGTGTTTAGCCAGCCTTTTGTGTGCCCATCTGGCATCATAGCTGCAGTGTGAAATGGATGCTCAGGACCTGGGTGGGCTCTGTTCACTGGGTTAGCTCTGAGTGAGGTCAGTATGGACAAGTCCTGCCAGAAGGCTTTCCAGAGGGTGATTGGATGGGTCCCATAGTGACTGTTACCTGAGCTGGGGTCTCGGGATCTGTTCTGCCCTCTTCAGTGGTTCCCACAGAGTTAGGGAGAGCATAGGAATAGGGCAGGTTACAGTGCCATAAGATGTCTTGTTCTTACCAAGAGTCCCTGGCTTCTTTTGAATAAACGCTCCTCAGATTGTTGAAAGCCTTTATTTAATTTCCAGGGTTCTAAAAAAGTTGATTGTGACGACTTTTGTTAGTGTTCTTGTTGCTTTTATGAAGAAGCAGATTTTAGAAGTCCTTATTTCACCATTCCAACAGCATTTAGGATGAATTTTTAAAGTTTTCTAATCTTTGTGGACTGATTCTTGTTAGGTTGGTAAGCTGAGCTGGTGCTGTGGGTATGCAAAGAATTGTACAGAATTTAGATTAGAAAAGAAAGTGTATTTAGAAAGTAGATTGGAAACGAGTGTATTCACTTCTCAAGTGAAAGAAGGGACCAGATGCTTAAAGGAAATGGCGAGGAATGCTTGAGAATGAGGGGTTTTTAAAGGCTTTCCTTTAAGGGACCAAGGAACTGGAGTTGTTTAATTTACAAAGAGCGTTCCTGTGGAACGTGGGTGTGAGGGGGTTGTCGTTGTCATGGTAATTAACTGTTTAGTATTGCAGCAGCCTGAGTTTTAGGTAATTGATCATGTAGACCGGGAAATGGGGCCAAGGTTTGTAAAACAAAGTCTTAAGACACAAACGTTAATTTTTGAATGTC